GAAATAAACGAGAAACAACGATGAAGAGGAAAATTATATGGCAATTGATGATAACGACATGTAACCTTACCTCCTCCTCCTCCTTGTTTTCCTTCTCCTCCTGTTTCTTCTCGTTCTCCTCCTCCTCCTCCTTCTTCTTCTTCTTCTTCTCTTGCTGCTGCTGCTGCTGCTGCTGCTGCTGTCGTTTCTTGTAGTATTTCCACAAATTTGGTTGCATGACTTTCATTATCACAAGACGCCATGAGCACTCAAGAGTGTATGTACTTTTCTTTTAAGATCCTTGTATGCAACTAAACGTCCCCAAAACTCAATTCACTAACCTTAATCTATGCACGAAAAAACTCACTTCTCGTTGGGAATAATGGTTAAGTTTGATGTAACCTTAATCTATATAGCGATAGGAAAACTGCTACGTTTTATTTATTTATTTTTTTTTTCAGCAAAAAAAAAAGCTACTTTATTAATGAAACATGAAACATGACACATTAATCAAGGCTAATTCTATTTTTCCACATCATTTATTGTGTCCACACACTAAATGGATTAAATTTTTATTACAATTTTATCATTAAATAAAATGACCACTATATACATTAATAAAACATCAAATCTTACAAATAATTTTTTTGTGTATACGTCCTTAGGAAACAAAAAATCTAGGTGCACACCTTAAAAAAAATAATAATAAATAAATAAAAAAACCTAGAACACATCAAACTAAAATCTACATTATTCCTCGAGTAAGGATCTTCTAGAGTTTTTTTTTTTCCTAAAGTTTCTTAGAGTGGTGTGTTGTATGGTTAAGATTTAATGACAAGTCACATCAATTTTTTAGCATTAAATCTCACCCATATAATACACCACTTTAGGAAACTTTAGGAAAAAAAAACTCTAGAGGATCCTTGGTGTTATTCCTCACTGCGGGAAATTACACTTTCGTCAATCAATTTGCCAATAAAAAAAATTTTAGTTGCAAAAAAATCACTTTTCTGCGACTAATTTGAAATTGGTAGCTAAAAGTTCTAACTTTTACCGACTAAAGTGATTTAGTTGGACTAAAGTGATTTAGTTGGACAAAAGTGATTTTCTACGACTAATTTGACATATTAGTCGCCAAAAATATATGCGGGAAGGTGAAAAATTGGGCAAGAGACTAAAATCTTTTAGCGACTGATGGAATTTGGTCGCAGATGTCAAAACAACTTCATTTTGCTCTGCTTTGTAATTTTGGCCGACCAACCACTGTGCATCTGCTTTTGGCAGATATTTTGTGCCAACTGTGCTAGCTGGCACCCACTTTGCCCCCCCTCCATACACGTGTATGGAGG